CTTTAGCGTGTAAGTTGTTTCTAACGTAAAAAAAAAAAAAAAAAATGCGCGATCATCATTTACATCACAAACATTATTTACTTTACTCATCGTTTCACAAGTATCGATAACCGACAGATTATTGAAAGCTGCCGAAGAGGTGCATTTACCGAAGGCCCTGCGACAAGAGTTTGGCGGAGGATTGAAGGAATTCGTGGGCTCCGAGTCGAGCTGTTTCGAAGGTAGCGACGACGAGACTCGATTCTTCACCACCCAAGAGAGGCAATCACTCGTTCTCCATCTGCTTCACACGCTCAGAGCGGGACCCCAGGATCTTCACAGTTTATCCGGGCTTAAAATGGTCGAGGGTCAAGCAATTATTCCAAAGTGCATTTCTGCTGGGATCATATCTCAGGTTGGTCTAAGAAAACACTCTGTAAAAAGTTAACCTGTACGTATATGACTTGATGGATAAATTTTTTAATAGTTGAAGGAATAGTTGAAAATTTTTAAAATAGTTAAGAATAAAGTAAACTTGAAGATAATTTATTACACGATCGAATAAATTGTTGTTCGAGCATTTCGTATAATTAACTTTACTCGAAATCGATCTTGTCTTACGACATTCGAATCGAATCTTTTTGAATGTTCCAACTTTCAATTTCCAGGTTTTCCCTCTTCACGAATTGCCCGCATTGGAAAAACTACAACGGACGTGGGTCCGCGCGTTTCTTAGTCCCCAACCCCTGGACGATATTTGTAAATATTTCGGAGTCAAGATTACCATGTACTTCGCGTGGCTCGGTCATTACACCACCGCCCTGATTGTTCCAGCTGCAGTGGGTGCCATATATTGGGTAAAAGGAAAATTATAGATACACCCAAAATTATAATATCCCATTTGCATTAATGTAAATCGCCGATCTTTTAATTGCTAGATTAAATTAAAATTTAATTAATATAAGAAAAGATAATTTATTATACGAATTTATTATAAAAAATAAAATAATAAATAGTTGTAATGATTATATTTTTTTTTTATTCGAATTTAACTTTTTATTCGATATTTAACATCTCCTGGATTTTATACAGATCGGCATCATCGGCAGGAATCAAGCGGTCGAAGACGTAGCTTACGTACTTTTCTCGGTCTTCAACGTAATCTGGGCCACGGTTTATTTGGAAACCTGGAAAAGAAGGGGCGCCGAATTGGCCTACAGGTGGGGTACTTTGGATCAAAGAGACGACCTACTTGTCGAGCCTAGGCCTTTATTCACGGTAAGCTTATCAACGTCTACACATCTATCACGTATCATTATCTTTCCTCAAATCTCATCCAAGTTTTATCAGAATTTGATTCCAATGCTTTTTATACCTCTCATTTATTTTTTTATTTTTTTTACTTTTTTCCCCTCCTATCTTGAAATTTATATAGGGCACGTTGGAAACTTCACCTGTGACTGGAAGACTGGAACCAACTTATCCCAGATGGAAGAGAAACATGTTCCGGTACTTTGTCAGCGTTCCTATCATCGCCGCGTGTTTGTTCTTCGTTTTCATCGTGATGATACTCAGCTTTCAAATACAGGTTCGTCATATTTTTTTAGATTAGAAATAAAAATTTCTTCTTCGCTTTAATTTGTATATTCAAATTCGTAAAAATTTCTTCAAATAATATTTCGAACATTTCTCGAGTAATCTTGGAAATTTGGCAACATGCCTGAATGTGCACGCTTGTAAAACTTTTCTTTTTCGAATTAAAAATTACTTCCGAAGTCGAAAAAACGATATTTTCGTTCTACCGATGACAAAGTTCGACTTCTGAATCGAAATTAGTTGAACGGAAGCCAATTCAAAAAACTTCATCGATTCCTCGAATTATTATGCCATTTATCGCATTTTTATTAAATTTACTTTTCTAAACAAAACAGAATTGTATTATTTTCACAGAAAGCGCAATAGATAATTTTATCAAGAAGAAACCCAATATTCTACAATTGTTAGAAGAAAATACGTGTCACGATCTTGTGCTAAAATGGCGAGGATTCCATTACAGTCCTCTTACCAGAAGATGTCGTTACGTACACTCTCCAGATGCTTCTAAAAAAACCCTATCGCCTTACACGTGTCACGTGTCCTCTCGAATTATGAGTGCCGCGTCCATTTTTGGCAATGGATTCTTCAATCTTCAATAAAACTATCGCACTTAAAACTATATATATATTATTCCATCGAACCTAACCTTGATAATGCATCTATGGTATATGCGGTAATATAATACTCTTGGAAATGGATCGACACAATATGTCGATATATAGAGAAGAGTAGAAAAGTCTTCCACAGAGGAGTTGATATTAACTGTGATCGATTTTCTTATAGAATTTCGTTTTCTTTTTTTCTTTTTTTTTTTTAGTGTTATAGTTTATATATATTGTACCTGTTCTATCTTGCAGGATTGGTGGGACGCTCGTCTGGAGTCGAGGGGATACGGATTCTGGTTGAGTTACGTGCCAAAAGTTTTGTTGGCGGTGGTGATAGCATTAATGGACGAAGCTTACTTCAAAGTCGCCATATGGTTGAACGATATGGGTACGTAGAGAATAACCATGAACCGGCAAAGAAGAACGATTATTGTACATTATTTTGGTTTCCCATAGTCTATATCTATGCTCTGTCACTCTTTTTTCTCAACACGATCGATCGTCCCCGTACGAAACGAGATACGAACGAGAGAGAACGAACATTTTCTACGAGACTCTTGCGCATCGAATTTGTTGTTATTTTCACGAGACACTCTGCACGTCTAGTTCTTTCTTTTTTTTTTTCTCTTTCTCTCTTCTCTCTCAAGAGCCTATAGCATATATACATATACTTTTCGAATCTTTTCACGGCTTAGCTTCTACTAGAGAATTGATTCAGAAGTATGTATCCATATCCCTTGATAAACATACGTGACTTGAACGGATTTTATATTAACAAGCGAATGTTTCTTTTGTGTTATTTTTCTCTTCTCGTAAGAACGAGTATATATCGTAAAAGTAAGAGATTATATTACATATTAGATCTTGTTACTTCTTCTGTTCCTATACATTTCCCTGTTTCTATTATTCCATTATTTGGTTATTTCGTTTCTTTTCCTTTCTTTCTTTCTTTCTTTCTTTCTTTCTTTCTTTGTTTTAATTCTCTATATTTTTTTCATTTTGTTTACATACTGGAGAGCAGTCATGTTACAGTAGATAGTATTTGTGATTTTTGTGTGTTGGACGCAGAAAACTATCGGCTAGACACCGAGTACGAGAATCATCTAATCTACAAGGTGGCACTGGTAATAAAGAAGAAACTCTCCATTTTTCAACGATTTTAGAATTTATATTTGTGTGTTGTAATAGTTGTATTCTTTCGTGTCCTCCTCTAACCGAGTTGTAGAATTTACCTTTTTATTTTTTCACTTTTTTTTTTTTTTTTTCAAAAGTTCAATGTTCAAATTCACGTGATTAATATTGGCATTGCTTCCAAGCCATGTCGTTTTTAAACTAAACTTCGTTTCTAAAAGCATATCGTTCGATAATTTCAAATAATTTTCCATATCGATCGCGAAAGCATGCATTTCATCTTCGTTTAAATTCAACGATCATATTCATTCAACAACAACAACAACAACAACAACAACAACAAAAAAGAAAAAATAAACAGTCTGGATCATATTTTATTGAAATTCTCGCGTAATAAAACGTTTTCTTTCTTTCTTTCTTTTTTTCTTTTTTTTTTTTTTAATACATTTAGAGGTGGACTTTATTATTGTTGATTTTATCGTTATAGTTTTATAAATAAGAACTTCTCTGCTTCTTCGTTCAATTACTCGATTATTCGAAGAATATATAAATTTGCTCTGGCTGTCTCTGTCGCTGCATGAAAATTCAATTCCCCCCCTTAGAATTGTATATTCTCTGCTTGCGCTTAATTGAAAAAAAAAACTATTTCATTGTACGTAGAAAGTATCGTCGATTCTATTTATATATATATATACGCTTGCGTTTCGTTACGTCTAGTGTACGTTTTAATTTATTACAGACAGATAGAAAGTATACAGAAGAGACTATGTATTTCAGTTTCAGTTTGTAAACTCCTTCCTATCGCTATTTTACATCGCCTTCTACCTACAGGATCAAGAAAGGCTCAAAGAGGTAAGGATCCCTTTACTCCTCTTTCGTCCTCTTTCTTCTTTCTCTATTTTCTATATCAATCAAATATATTCTTTCTTCTTCGAGAATGAATCCATAGACAAACTTTTTAGATTAAACTTAGACGTTCCTTTTTTTCTTTTTTTTTTTTAATCGTCTATATCCTTGTTCGATTCTTGGTCTTTGTAATTTAGTATTTAGACAGTTTGTTAGACACGTTGTTGTTTCTCGACGTTGACGAACGAAGAACACAAAAGTATATATTAATCATCTACAAGATCGTTGATCGAAGTGAAGAAGAAACGAAATTAAAACGAAGAAAAATTCGAAACGAGTGTTGTATGAGTATTCGAAAGAAAGAAATATCATAGAATTATTAAAATCGAATTTCGTTCTTTTTTTTAAAAAACTAAATTATTAAATAAAATTTTGACCAAAAAAAAAAAACTAAATATTCGAAGAATATCGCAACGAGGGATCACAATGTTTTTATGATTTCAGCAATTGGCAGCACTGTTGATCGCTCGCCAAGTGATTGGTAATCTGAAAGAATCCGCTGTGCCGTATCTGATCGAGCAGTTGCGATTGGCCCGGCTCAGCTTCGAGCTTTTTGGCGCGTTGAGCCCGAGCGAGGCCAGACCGCCACCTGGCGAGGAAAGCGAGGAGAGTCAAAAGGAAGTGGACGAGAAAGGGGAACGCTCGGACGGGGGGAAGTCGAAGCAACCGAGAAACGTTAGCCAAGCCGAATTGGAGAGTTCCCTCTACAGAGTAGGGCATCCCACTAATTCTCTACTTAGTGACGTTACGTTCAAGGTTTGGTCTAGATTTAGCTAATTTTTTTCATTTTCGATGCACTCATGCAGTCGCGCACTGAACCTGAACCGCGTTGACGTTTTTTTTATTATCGAATCAATCGACCTAAAGGAAAAATAAATAATAAGAAAAATAATAAGAATTCTTAATCGAACGAAAATTGAAGCAAATTGATTATCTAATTATTATTATTATTATTATTATTATTATTATTGGCTGTTTGGATTAAAAAGAATAAGGGAAATCGGCAAGGTGGGCAGGTTCTTTCATTCATTCGAATCATATAATTCTTCATCCTTCTCCCCTTTATAATATAGTATATTTTTTAATGATCCTTGGCTTGCGTATACTGTATATATATATATATCTTTGGATTAGTTTTATTTTGTGGGGTACATCCACAATACGTTTTCGAAAGTGATCCTGATCCGTAGAGGAAGAAGGGTAGTATTGCGAAAGGTGGATCTAATGAATGTTGTCCTCTGTGTTCTCTGATCGGTTCTTTTTCCAGAATTTTAATGATTTTTTTCCCGTTTCCTACCAATTCTGTCGACGACGCACAGGTATCGAGCAAAAAGGTAATGTCACCTGATCATCCTATCGTTAACTATTCATTCACCCTTTCGATTGCTAATTTAATTAAATTGTGAAAGAAACGAAAGAAATATTAAAACGATAGAATCTTCTCTTTTTTCGAATCTATCGAAAACTTAGAATTTAACTTGGATCGATTGGATCGATTCGTATTTCTGAATGTAGAAAGTGGTAATCTATAGGGTGAATCGAACGAATCACTGCTTGTCACGCTAACGCCATGTTAAGCGCTGGCTTCTTATTTTTCGTTTGAAAGCATAGTAACAATAACCCTTGCACTACCTATGATAGATATATATACTCTTCACGTAATATTATTACGATATTTTTTCCCTTA